CCGGTCCCCATTGGACAGAAAGCTGGGTGGACCTCAGAGCCGGTCTTGACACTGTGGAGTACAGAAAAATCTCTGGGAATCGAAGACCGGCCGTCCAGACTGTAGCCCATTGCTCTACCAACTGAGTCATCCAGCTCATTGAAAAAGGCACATGGAATCCTAAAATGACATGCTTCAAAATTATGCACTGAATACTTTGGAATTCTTTTTATCGTGCAAAATATGTATCAAGTATTTTCTGAACCTTCTATTTGTTCGGCCATTCAAATGGCACACTGCATTTCGTTTCTTCGTTGAACTAAAACAATGATCAACAGCAGCCACTGCGGGGTAAAAATCGGGTAAAAAAAGTGGGTGTGGAACAAAAGTGTAATGACTTACAGATAATATCCAGCCTAAGGTTCAAATCACATACTTCTTAAATGCACAGCAAAATACTCAACTGTTGTCAAACAGTGGTGGTGAAATAGCCCATTAAATAATACGAAGTTTTACCAGCACCATCAAAAAATGGCTATTGGACCCTCTCTTCCACCAATTCAAACCATTTAAAACACAGCTGTATATGAATCAAAATACTTTCACATGACGCTTGAAAGCTGGAACAGTTCAATGCTAGGCAACGGCTAGGTAAACAGGATCCCGCAAAGATGACTGTGCAAGCAAAAATAGGACATCCACTGCTAGGCAACGGTTCGGTAAACAGACCAAGAATACAGGTATTGTTAGGAAACGGTGTTTTCTGTTGGGGCCAACATGAGACTATACAATGTGGATCCATGGCCAGCTGAGATGACTTACTGACTGACTGAGCGTCAGTTGCAGCGTGACTTTGACTCTGACTTCAGCTGACATGAAAACTGAGGAGGAGTTGTCAGAAGTTGAAAGAGTTCAGCTGAGACTTGAAGAGGAATTAGAAATGAGTAGTTAAATTAGGAACAAGAACTGAATTGAGGAACAACTGAGGGAGTCTTTTGAAGCAGCAGTAGCAGATGGAGGAGAGAAGACACAGTGTCTCATAAAGCGATTTGTGAAGTGCAGTAACACGCTGTATAAGTGTGCAATAAATCCAAACATCAATCAAAAACCCGCCTGTAAGTCACGCACCCCTAATATGAGAAAATATAATATAATTGGAGACTTGCATTTGCAAAGCAACATCACATATATCACATCAAGTGGAGGAACTGTTTCGGAAGAGACTGTGGAACTGTCGTCTTGACAGATTATAGATGATGATTACATATATAACACAAGACAGCCTGCTCATATGAAGGAAGCAATGTTTTCACTAATGAAAATCTTGTGAATATTTAATCACCTGTTTCGAAATTTGTTGTCACTGGGAGGGGGGATTCCTTGCCACAACCACAAAATTCCTGATCAAGACCATCTCAGTTAACTGAAACCTGATCAGGTCCTCAAAAATTGCATTCGTAATAATTATTGTTATTATTCAATTCAATTCAATTCTTTATTATTTATGTGCTGAGCCAACATCCAGTCAATTAATGTGTCTATCCTGATGTGGTCACTTTCCAGAATATATCTGAAACATTTAGCATCTCTTTCTTGTTTTCCTAAAAAAGCTGCCTGTCCTGCCATATTTGAGCGTTCTCTTTTCTTTCACTGGTTACTCAATGCTTCAGCATCAAGGCTGTATGATGAGGTCAATGATGAACTGGACAGAATTTAGAATGAAGTGGTCACAGTCCATTTAAGGTACTATCCCAACATTTACTTGGAGGAACTTAGGAAAATCACAAAAGCACTTCGGTCAGGATTGGATATCCTGCCTGAGTTTTGAACTGAGCACCTAAGTGTTACCTCTGAAGCAACCTGTTTTGTTTCACTCTTCATTTAATCACCATACAAAGACCACAAAATGTGAAACTCCTCATAACATAATTCTATACACAACCCCGTGGCTTCAGACCTCACATATATAGATATTTTCCTTTGTATTTTGTTTTCAAACAGCTCATCACTCTTACAATTTAGCATCATGTTGTCTACAGAGACAATGCTACCAACCTCAGAAGTTTATTTGTAAAACCAGCCTTAGAATTTGCCTGCATCAAGAAGTCCACAAGGATAGGCTTTTTGTTTTATTTTTAAAAATGAATTTCCAAAAACCTCCTAATGTTATGCTCTGAGTCTTGTTTTTACAAATAAACGTCAAAGATTTGCAGTGTTCAAGTCACTTGTAAACACAAAAGTACCTTCATAACAATCACATATGATGTAGTGTTAGCTGCCACCTTCTGGTCTTACTGAGCACTACAACCAACTTTAGCTTCAAGCAGATAACAAAATGTCTTCAATTTATCTAATCCTTCCAGCCGCATTATGGCCCTGGGGTTGACTCAGCCTCTAACAGAAATGAGTACCAGGAATATTCTTGGAATATTCTTGGGGGTAAATGGTGGCTGACGCATAAGGCTGACAACATTACCGCAATCTATGAGTTGATTGTTTAGAAAATGCGAGAACCTCAACATCTCACAACCTTATGGGCCTGTTACAGGGATACCTTTACCTTTTACTATTAACAAGCAGTGGGGATAAAGAATTACCACGATTTTGATCAGGATTCTCAAACTTAAAATATCAAGTAACTAGCTGGTTAAAAAGTACCATCTAAATATCTGCTAGATTGTATCCACACTGCACATGATCATGGGGTCATACTGATTGCATACTTTTCTAAGTTAATATGTTTTGAAGCTTTCCCACTGAATGCATGCACTGAAGCCTTCTTGGACAATCATTCATGTGAACAAGGAGTTAATATCCAATGTTTCAGACATGTCTTTATCATCAGGTACTGATGCTGACATCAACCTCCAATGATGGAGATGAAAACCGTCTTCAAAATGTTCAATATTAACTTCATATTCACATTACTGTTTGCTTTAGAAGACTTCATTGCTTTTCTAAGCTATTTATTACAAGCTCATCAATTTGAGAAATATGCAAAATATTCAGCAAGCCCTTTCATAAGCTTTTTATACAAGATTCACCATTTTCTTTAAAGAGGAAGGGCTTACATATTTTGGGGTGAACAGAAATACTACAATGGGGGCCAAAACACCAACTGGTAAGCCATGAATTAAAGAGTCATGATCTAGAATACACTGAACTGGAAATGATTCAAAAATAGAAGCAATCAAAGTTTTCTTGTTTTTTCAGAGTTCAAAAAAAAGGCCATATAACAATCACTTAGGAGTAACAGTATGGGAAGGACTCTTGATTTACTACATCATAACTGTCTTTAATACCCATAAACATTAAGATTAAAAAAAATAGTGTGTACTGCAAAAACAAAACCTTCTATACTATCAGGTGTGAGGAGTCACGCTATATTCTGTATTTTATATTGTAACAAAATATACTGTATACAGACAACAAACTGCATAATGAGAAGCTTCATAATTTTTGCTCATAGTCAAATATTACCAGGTGGATCAAATCAAGTAGTATGAGATGGGCAGGCCATATCACACATGTGAGTGATAAGAAACAAAAAATATTTGTCATAAAATCTGATGGGAAGTGGTCATTTGGAAGATGAAAGAATAATATTAAAATGGATCTGAATGAAGCAATGAGATTGACGACTGGGTTCAATAGGCTCAGGACTGGGTCCAATGGTGTGCCACTGCAAACATGTTAATGAAACTTCAGGTTTCATACAGAGTTGGAAATTTCTTGATCAGCTGAGAGACTATTAGCTTTTCATTAATAACTATGCTCAAAGATGTTGGTTAATGGAGAATAACAAGTATAGAGAACTTACAAATTAAATGGAACACATTATAGATAATGAAAGATTCAGCCATCTAATAATAAGCCAATTCAATTCAATTCAATTCTTTATTATTTATGTGCTGAGCCAACAGCCGCAAGGCCAATTATAGACTCAGCACAGTGTATAA